ATGTCTTTGTAGAATTGCTATTTTTTTAACAAGGGTAGGTTGTCTATTTGCTTGTATTTTTTAGAGACGAGAACTCGATCTGTGATGAGGAGATATCTTGGCGCCGGTTGGAGGACGTCTTCCAAACATAGTTTTTGCCATGTTTGAATTTACTTGAATAAGATTGAGTTTTGCAGTTGATGGATTGTGGTAGAGTTGGGAGAATTTGTGTTGACTTGGTGGACGTGGGCGTTTACTGAGTTGTAGGGTGAAGATTCTTACCATAAGCTTCGAGAGCCGTTTTTGGAAGCTGATAAGTTTCCCATTAGTTAAGCTAATTATTAATTGAATATGTAAATTATTGATACAAGAGATTTTTGGTAAAACTGCAAATGAAAACAAGAGTTCTTGCTATGATGCTATTATTTACAAAATGGTTTCATTTTTGTAATAAAATATGAAATGTCTTGTGTAGGGGTAATTTTCTCTATATATTAGGTATTCCAATTGGCAACATATTTATGTTGATGCCCAAATTGCTTTGTTTCCTTCCTTTGATGTGTTTGCAAGTCCAAGAACAACAAAGTTTTGTTGGTTTGCTTTTTTATTATTTATTGTTTTTCATTATTTACTGGTACTGCTTAAAAAAATCATGGAATCGAGACCGCAGGGCAGGTCGGGGCGGGTCGACCTGCCATGGAGTGGGCCAGGTCACGGGTTCGCTTTGCTGGAACTGTTGCGGGTCATGGGCCAGGCTGGGGCGGTGGGGCAGGTACACTAATACTACAGCCAAGTTCGGGTCCAAAACTACCCAGCCCGATCTGGTCTATTGCCATCCCTATCGCTGGCGAAGAGCAGTGAGCAGGTCGGCTGGGAAATGCGGTTCTCGACATTGACAACACTGTGAAAATTCGGCAGAGATGTTGGACCGGTCCACATTCACCAACAATTTATTAATTTTTATTATATAATTATTTCAATATAATAATTAATTTTTTTTATTATTTAATTCAATATTTCAATTGACTAATTTGTGGCATTGATCTAAACAAAATTAATGACTAAGATTGACTCTCAATACTCATTTTAAGGAGTGGTCTCATTGGATCCACCCTATATATATATATATATATATATATATATATATATATATATATATATATATATATATATATATATATATATATATATATATATATATATATATATATATATATATATATATATATATATATATATATATATATATATATATATATATATATATATATATATATATATATATATATATATATATATATATATATATATATATATATATATATATATATATATATATATATATATATATATATATATATATATATATATATATATATATATATATATATATATATATATATATATATATATATATATATATATATATATATATATATATATATATATATATATATATATATATATATATATATATATATATATATATATATATATATATATATATATATATATATATATATATATATATATATATATATATATATATATATATATATATATATATATATATATATATATATA